GTAAACAAAATTTCGCAATTCCGGTTGGTTGATTTACACAAAAAAGTCACGTGGGTACATGGCTTTAGACGACCCCTGAATTAGGAAACTGCCTTCTGCGGCCTAATTAAAAATGATCCTCGTGATGTTTTACTAACAGGCGCTATACTGTTCTAATCCTAACCCTAAGTAAAACACGGTTTTCTTGGGGTTCATTTTACACGTAATTTTTTACTTAGAAAACAAAACACGTTTGTTTTGACACCTGATCTTAAATTTTGATTGGTCAAAATTACCGGGGAACGCTACCTAAATCCTTGGATCCCTGCTCGATTGAGCCAATTACATGAAAGTTTCATGAAAGTTTAAAATTTCTAAATTGGTTTATAAATGACATGAAAGTTTAAAATTTCTAAATTGGTTTATAAATGATTTGATTGGCTACCAGACGTGTCCATCTGCAAGTATTTAAAACTTTCTTCACATCTTTCAAATCCTCGGAACGCGTCATGGATTTCTTTCAAAACGCTAATCTACAACAAACTTCGAATAACCCGTTGCGGGAGACATCAAACAAAGCAACACCTGTGCTAGAATTGCTAAAGGGTGAAATGACTATGGACGATTATCTTAATGGTAATCAAAAGACAATTCGTAAGGTGAAGTGTTAATAACGTTTTCCTTATATCTCTAAAAGAAGAAACCTTTGCATGTATACATACAGTTAACGCTCATTACAATCCCTAAAGAATTTGAGTTTACAGAGAAAAGAGGGATTATAAGGAGAGAGTTGGCTGTAATGAATAAGTTTATAACATTTAATTTATGAATGACACCTAAAAAAAATTATATAGCGAAGACAACAGGAAAGAGAACAAGATGAAAATTTTGAACCCGTTATTAATAACACGAAAGACGAAGTCAAACTTAAACCTAAAGATTCAAATAGAAAACCATTGTATACATATGCTTCATTGATTGGACAAGCAATTCTTCAAGCTCCAAATAGAAGGCTACCTTTAAATGAAATTTATGAATGGATAATGGCTACATATCCATTTTATAAAAAAGAAAATAAAGGATGGCAGGTATGTAGTGGCTAAAGTAATTGATATTTACAAATGAAATCATTTGCTTATATTATTATGCGGGATAGAATTCAATTCGACACAATTTAACACTTTGCCCGGCGTTTCGTAAAGTTGAAAGAGAAAGTGGGCATCCTGCAAAAGGATCCTACTGGACTATCCCAGATGAATTTATGTGCTGCTTTGTTAATGGTGCCTACAAAAATGAAAGAATGCCAACGAACAATAAAAAGAAAAAAAAGTCGAAGACCGGCGATAAAGATGTGTCGAGCGAATGCTCAATATCTGGCGCACCGGTGTCTAAGGTTAAAAATCGAAATACGACGACTCCTAGTAAAGTAAAAGTGTCGGATGAGAAATATGAGGGACAACAACAGTATGCAAACAAAGACTCAAATGAGTATTCAAATATCCAAGATACTATAATGAACAGTAATCAATCCTTCGATGACGATTCAAATTTTCGAGATACTTTTATGTACAGTATACAACCAGTTGATGTGTACAATCATCAAATTATCGACATTTTTCAATATGCAGGTGGATTGACTGAAATGGGCAACCAAACTTCTGACATAGATGATTTTATCAATGATCATAACTTCAATGATACGCTATCAGCTTCAAGCAAGACATTCTACGGACTTGACCATTGTCAAACTAATATTGATAACGTAAACCCCGATCCGGATGGTTTGCGCTACTTTTACGCGATGAAATGTAATGTAAAGCAAGAATGCGAAAGATATGTTAATATGCGTGAAGTCGAGTTTCAGGATTTGGACGCAGTGTATAATACAAGAAACTAGTAGTCGATAAAAACTTAACGTTTTAAGCTTAGCCGGCTCGATAATTTTTGATACGGCCAAACCGGCTTAGTATGTTATTAATCAAAAGTTGAACCTGTCAATAATAGATTGTAATCCGGAAACACCCGCTGGCCATATTTTATGTTTTATTTACATAAATAAAAAATAGAACGCCGTTGTACAATGTTTCGATGTAAGAATAGATACGTGATGCAAACGGTTGGTTCGGCTTGGCTCACAACTAATGTTAACGAACCATTTATAAGCTATCAGCGTCGAGTCGAGCTGAGCCGTTACTCTAAACCAAACTTAAAATTTATAGTTACGATAGATTAGATGGTTTAAATCCGGACTTCTAACCGGATCTGAGTTTATTTTACTGATATGGTGCGACCAGCTTTAAATCTCCACAACAACAGCCTTACAAAAAATTGCTACTTTAAAAATTATACAAGATTTGTTCTTCCTGTTCTTTGAAACAAAACTTGTGGTTTAAATTTAAATTTCGGCCATTTTATATAAATTTGCAAAAACGTAAATGTATGTTTTTTGATCAATCAGATAATCATATACAGATTATAAATTTCATAAAAAT